ACCAACAATTCTAGATTTGAAGCTTTCGTGACTGCAAGGATTCATACTCTTAGTTTTTTTCCGTAAAGTCACGTAGGTAAAAAATGTAATTACAATTAATAAAAAAAAAACACGACGTTTCCTACGTGACTTTACCGAAAAAACTAAGAGTATAAAACCAGAAGGAGGTATTGCAGCAGCCACTACGAAATGTTGAGAGAACTAACCGCACCAACTTGCACTGCTGTATGCAGTTTGCATAACGACCCCCACCCCTGTTAGCGCCGATTCGGTTAGCGCTCACTTCTCTAGGCTCAAGGACGCACGCCGAGCGCTAAGCGAGGTCTGCCTGCGGTTAAAGTGCCGACTCGTTGGGACCGTGCGGGGGGGGGGGGGGGTCCCGCGGGAAGTGGGCAGGGCGGGAGGGATTCAGGGCGGGAGAGAGGGCGGGAGGGAGAGAGGAGCCAAGGGAAGGAGGGGAGGAAGAGGAGATATGGGAGGGGAACGGAGAAACGAGAGCACGGGGGGGGTGGGAAAGATTAGATGGAGGGAGGCGGAGAAGGAGGGGGTCACACGGAAACCACGTGGTTCAAATGAGGCTTGAGCTGGTTTAGAGATCTGTAGGTGAGAGGGGGGGGTTCGGATTGGGGGGTGGTCACACGGAAGCCACGTGGTTTACGTGAGACTTGAGCTGGTTTAGAGATCTGTAGGTGAGAGGGGGGGGGGTCATAGTGGGAGTGGTTACACGGAATCCACGTGGTTTACGTGAGACTTGACCTGGCTCAGAGAGTTATGTCCGTGCCAACATTCGTTACGGGAAATTCATTTTAACATTGGTTCACGTTGCTGTAACTATCTGCAGTATTCACAACGAGCAGGAACACGGGGAACTTCTGCGGCTAAAGGATAGCGAATATGTACCAGTGGGGAGATGTTAACTCCCTCGCTTGGTCTACAGGAGGTCGTGGCTTCTATCCCGACCCTGACGCCTGCTGCTGTATATTTGGAGTTTGCGTGTCTCTCTTTCTCTCATCATCATGACGGTGGCTAGGAGATGTTAACTCCCTTGCCTAATATACAGGAGGTCGTGGGTTCGATCCTGACCCTGACGCCTGCTGCTGTATATTTGGAGTTTGCGTGTCTCTCTTTCTCTCATCATCATCACGGTGGCTAGGAGATGTTAACTACCTCGCCTGGTCTCCAGCAGGTCGTGGCTTCGATCCCGACTCTGACGCCTGCTGCTGTATATTTGGAGTTTGCGTGTCTCTCTCTCTCCCGGTAGTCGTGGTGATTTTTCTCCGGATCCTCCCCGTTTCCCCCCTCCACATTTAGAATGAACGTCACGCGTTTGTTGGAACGTCCGGCCCGCGGGCCGTGTAAGGCCCGCGAAATCATTTGGTGCGGCCCTGCCAAAGCAACCGCATGCGGGACTCGAAATCAGTGGCGGCTCCTGCAAAATCTCTCAGGGGGGGCAAATGTCTGGATGATTGATAAGGATAAGGTCCACCCATGCAATGGATACATTAACAGCTTAAGCATGTAAAGGCAACTTCACTTCTTTAATATTAATGAAAAATAAAGTGACTCTTACAATACATCTTGTTTGTTTCTATACTCACTATTAATAGAATCCACTCAAGTTTCTTTTATTAAAGATTCCAATAGGTGGCGACAAATTATATTGTTGGATGAAACGTGCTTACGTATGATGACGTAAGCACGTTAGGGCTTGCCCTCCCGGAAGTCATAGAGAATGCATTGCAGCGCCCGCCGTTCGAAAAAAAACATCTTTGAATGTAAGTCTATGGGGCCACTCGGGGCGATTCTCAGCCGGAGTGAAATCGCCCAAAAAGAGGCGGTACTCCACAGAACGTGACATGACGCTGATTGGACTATATCCAGAGGCACAGTGACGGCTAGCGTGACTCTGTGGTTGAATGACATTGGTGGTGCGTTGCCCAATCGCCCTAATGAAGAAACCGCCCCTGCTCGAAATTCAATAAATCTCGGAGCAAACCTGGAAAAGCAGTTGCGAGTAGCAGCATCATCGATACCAGCTAACATCACACGCCTCGCCAAAGAGAAGCAGTTACAGCCATCGCATTAGGGGTGAGTTCATTAAATGTTTGACCAAATAATAACGGGCTAATTTTAAAGTTGATAATTGTGTATGGCCCGCGAATGATGTTATAGATATCCAAATGGCCCTTGGCAGACTAAAGGTCCCCCACCCCCCCCCCCCTGGTGTAGAACACCTGGCCGCTATAGATGTCCACACAATGATAAGCCACTTCCATGCGCTATCAATTGTGACAGCAAGTTCGCTTCTGCAACAACAAAAAATAGCTGTGCACGCTCAATTGGCCTCAGCTGGTAAAATACGAATTTTTTTTTTTATTGTCGTAATACATCATTGACAATGGAATCTCTAATGCTCCAACACAGGCCGCGAGAATTAGCATAAAGGTCACGTGACTGAAAATGCGCCAAGATTCCTGCTGCCCCACCCCAGCCCCGCCCCCCGCCCCACCTTCACCCCCCGCCCCGCCCCTCATCTCACCTGCTGCGGGATTTTTGTTTTGTTGCACCTGGGACCACGTGACCTTTGCCCCGGCTGCACCTGCCGCACGCGCCGCTCCCAGCGCCCTGGGGGGTGGTGGGGGTGCAGGGGGCGGGGCCAGGTGAGGGGGCGGGGCCAGGCGAGGGGGCGGGGCTGTGGGCGTGGTCAGTGGCGGGGGGCGGAGTTCACGCCGCTGCAAGCGCGGGGCGAGAGGCGGCAAGAGGGGAAGGGATTAGAGGAGTGGGGGGGGGGTCGTAGGGGGAGGGAGGCAGGGGGAGGGGGAGGGAGGCAGGGGGAGAGAGGCAGGGGGAGAGAGGCAGGGGGAGGGGCAGGGAGGCAGGGGGAGGGGGAGGGAGGCAGGGGGAGGGGGAGGGAGGCAGGGGGAGGGGGAGGGAGGCAGGGGGAGGGGCAGGGAGGCAGGGGGAGGGGCAGGGAGGCAGGGGGAGGGGGAGGGAGGCAGGGGGAGGGGGAGGGAGGCAGGGGGGCAAGGGGGGGGGTGTAGGGGACAGGGGACAGCGGGAGGGGGGCAGGGGGGCAAGGGGCAGTTGGGGGGGGGAGGTAGGGGACAGGGGAAAGGGGGCCGGGGGGGGCAGGGGAGCAGGGGGCAGGGGGCAGGGTGTAGGGGGGCAGGGGGGTAGGGGGAGGTCAGCAGGGGGCAGGGGGAGGGGGGCAGGGCGTGATAAATTGGGACGCCAGGACTGGCCGCTGCTTCACAAGCACCACGACTCCGACACGCGCCGCGTCAATAACAACACGGAGCGCGTGGGGGGCCTTCAAAGGGTGACATGGACACAGACGACGCTTCGGGCAGTGGCCCTTCTGCATAGCTCCGTCTCCACCACGTGGAGGGAGGGAGGGAGAGAGTGATGAGTGAGTGACGGTGTCAGAGTGATGAGTGAGTGATGGGGGGAGAGTTGGAGGAGCGGAGGAGAGAAAGAGATGGGTGAGTGATAGTGAGTGTTGGGTGAGTGATAGTGAGTGTTGGGTGAGTGTTGGGTGAGTGATGAGTGTTGCCTGAGTGATAGTGAGTGTTGGGTGAGTGTTGGGTGAGTGTTGGTAAGTGATGAGTGTTGCCTGAGTGATAGTGAGTGTTGGGTGAGTGATAGTGAGTAATGAGTGAGTGATAGTGAGTAATGGGTGAGTGATAGTGAGTGTTGAGTGATTGTGAGGGACGGGTGAGTGTTGGTGAGTACTGGGTGAGTGTTGGGTGAGTGTTGGTGAGTGTTGGGTGAGGACTGGGTGAGTACTGGGTGAGTGTTGGTGAGTGTTGGGTTAGTGATGGTGAGTGTTGGGTGAGTACTGGGTGAGTGTTGGTGAGTGTTGGTGAGTATTGGTGAGTGTTGATGAGTGTTGGGTGAGTGTTGGTGAGTGTTGGTGAGTACTGGGTGAGTGTTGGGTGAGTGTTGGGTGATTGTTGGTGAGTGTTGGGTGAGTACTGGGTGAGTGTTGGTGAGTTGGAGAGTATTGGGTGAGTGTTGGGTGAGTGTTGGTGAGTGTTTGGTGAGGGTTGGTGAGTACTGGGTGAGTGTTGGTGAGTGTTGGAGAGTATTGGGTGAGTGTTGGGTGAGTGTTGGTGAGTGTTTGGTGAGGGTTGGTGAGTACTGGGTGAGTGTTGGTGAGTGTTGGGTGAGTACTGGGTGAGTGTTGGTGAGTGTTGGGTGAGTGTTGGTGAGTGTTGGGTGAGTGTTGGTGAATACTGGGTGAGTGTTGGGTGAGTGTTGGTGAGTTTTGGGTGAGTGTTCGTGAGTGTTGGTGAGTGTTGGGTGAGTGTTGGTGAGTATTGGGTGAGTGTTAGGAGTACTGGGTGAGTATTGGTGAGTGTTGGTGAGTGTTGGGTGAGTGTTGGTGAGTGTTGGTGAGTTTTGGGTGAGTGTTAGTGAGTATTGGGTGAGTGTTGGTGAGTGTTGGGTGAGTACTGGGTGACTGTTGGTGAGTACTGGGTGAGTGATGGGTGAGTGTTGGTGAGTGTTGGTGAGTACTGGGTGAGTGATGGGTGAGTGTTGGTGAGTGTTGGTGAGTATTGGTGAGTATTGGGTGAGTGTTGGTGAGTGTTGGTGAGTGTTGGGTGAGTGATATTGGTGAGTGTTGGGTGAGTACTGTGTGAGTGTTGGTGAGTGGTGGTGAGTGTCGGGTGAGTGTTGGTGAGTACTGGGTGAGTATTGGTGAGTGTTGGGTGAGTACTGTGTGAGTGTTGGTGAGTGGTGGTGAGTACTGGGTGAGTGTTGGATGAGTGAAGGCGACTGATTTATCTTTACACGCGGAGCAGGAGAAAGTGGTCTGTCCAGTTCCTGTGCTTGGAGGCGCTACTGAGACAGGTGACATCCCGGGGGGTGGGGGGGGTGGGGGCTAGCGTGTGGGGGGGGGGGGGGGTACAGGTGTGTCATCCCCCTCGGGGGGGGGGCGGGGACAGGTATAAAAAATCCCAGAGAGACTCACAGATCAGAAGCTTGCGAATGCGCTGACACTCACTCCGACCACGACTCCAGACATCCTGACACAGAAGAAGGAACTCACTCCTCGCTGTATCACTCTCGCCGCGTGGCACAGAGTCGATGAGAGTGGCAGGGGAGAGAGCAGCAGCAGAAAGTCAGGGTTAGGGGCTGAGGGCGGGTGAATGACAGAGAGCGAGTGGGTGAGTGGCAGAGGGTGCAGGGAGAGGCGAGCGTGAGGGTTTGGGGAAGAGTTGTTGGGGAGAGTTCATGAATTAGCGACAAGGTGGAGATCCGCACGATGCTGTACGTGAGCAACACAAGCCAGGCGCAGTATGGAGGGGTAAGTGTCACACGTACACACACACACACCTACACACACCTATACACACACATGTACACACACACACACCTACACACACCTATACACACACATGTACACACACACACATACACACCTACACACACCTACACACACCTACACACACCTATACACACATGTACACACACACACCTATACACACGTACACACACCTACACACATGTACACACACCTACACACATGTACACACACCTACACACACACCTACACACACACACCTACAACACACACCTACACACACCTACACACACACACCTACACACACACACCTACACATACACATGCGTACACACACGTACACACACGTACACACGTACACACACGTACACACACACACAGACGTACACACATACACATATACATACACACACGTACACACATGCACACACACACGTACACACATACACAAGTATACACATACACACATACGAACAAAGACAAAGATCCCCGTATAGCCTTCACAGCCTGCATGAGCAAGTGCTGTTTGCGAGCACCTATGAAGGCCGGCACGGCGCACGAGGGGATGGGTGACCAGCACCACGCCCAGCGATATTTGCACACCACGCCAGGTACTCATTTGAGGCTGAGTCGACCTAGGGGGGGAGGCCAACGACACCGTCAGTGGTGTCGTTGGCCGTGATGGGGAATCGAACTCGGGTCTGCCAGGTTCGTGCCCGCAGCGCGCTCACCGCTGCGCCACCGCTCCCCCATACGTGGGTTGACTGATTCCACTCGCCACTGATGATAGCCGGGAATGGTCGGCGTGGAACTCGGGACGCCGGGTTCTCAGCGCGATGCGCTAACCACTGCGCCACCGCTCCCTCAGGTATTACAGAGTAACACACACACACGTGTATCTAAATGTATGTGCGTGTATCTATTTAGATACATATACATACCACGCACAAAAGACAAAGATCCCCCGTATAACCTTAACAGTCTGTTGGGGCAAGTGCTGTTAGCGAGCACATATGAAGGGGTGGGTGGTCAACAACCACGACCGACCGCCTTTGTCTCCCTAGTGGCGATGTTTACACACCGCTACCAGGTACTCCTTTGAGGCCGAGTCGATCTAGGGGTGGCCCGGGACCTATTGAAATCATCGTCACCGGTGTTGGCCGTGAGCGGGTAATCGAACCCGGGTCGCCAGGTTCGGAGCGCAGCGTAGCGCTAACCGCTGCACCACCGCTCTAAATAAACCCACACGTATATACATAGCACACACACACACGTGCACACACACACACGTGCACGCACACGTGCACACGCACACACACACGTGCACACACACGCACACACACACACGTGCACACACACACACGTGCAACGCACACACATGCACACACACGCACACACACACACGTGCACGCACACACACACGTGCACGCACACACGTGCACACACACCTGCACACGCACACACGTGCACACACGCACGCACACGCACATACGTGCACACATACGTGCACACACACGTGCACACACACACATACACACACATACACACACACGTGCACACACACACGTGCACATACACACGCGCACACACATACACGTACACGTGCACACACACATGTGCACACACACGTGCACACACGTACCTGTGTGCGCGCACGTGGTTCCTGTGCACAGGTATGCATGCATGGTTGTACTGTATAGGCATTATGTAGCAAAGACAAAGATCCCCCGTATGGCTTCAACAGACTGTTGGGGCAAGTGCTGTTAGCGAGTGGCACCGATTGGAGACCGGGACAACACACGAGGGGGTTGGGTGGTCAACACCACGCCCGGCCGCCTTTGTCTCCCCAGCGGTGATGTTTAGACGCCGCACCAGGCATGTATTAATTTGAGGCTGAGGCGATCTAGGGGAGCCCCAGGATTGGTTTAAGATTTTCACCGCTCGTGTTGATGGCCGTGAGCGAGAATCGAACTCATACCCAGTACATATACACACAGTACACATACACACAGTACACATACACACAGTACATATACACACAGTACATATACACACAGTACACACAGTACATATACACACAGTACACACACAGTACACATACACACATAGTATACACAATATACACACAGTACATATACACACAGTACATACACACAATATACACACAGTGCACATACATACAGCACATATACACAATAATCACACATAGTATACACAATATACACATAGTACATATACACACAGTACATATACACACATAGTATACAAAAAGTACACACACAGCACACACACCGTACACACACACGCACCGTACACACACACGCACCGTACACACATAGTATACACACATAGTATACACACATAGTATACACACACGCACGGTACACACACACATAGTATACACACACACCGCACACACACACACACCGCACACACACACACACGCACCACACACACACCGTACACACACACCGTACACACACACCGTACACGCACACACCGTACGCACACACACCGTACACACACACACGCACCGTAGACACACACACATAGTATACACACACACGCACCGCACACACACACACATAGTATACACACACACACGCACCGCACACACACACAGTGACCACTCGTGTGAGCTCGAGGGTGACGAGGTGTTACCTGTTTCGAGTTGTTCACACGCGCGTGCGCGTGACCCGCCTGGTATGTGTGTGTCTGTATGTATCTGCGTGTGTGTCTGTATGTATCTGCGTGGTCACTGCGCTGTGTGTGTGTCTGTATGTATCTGCGTGGTCACTGCGCTGTGTGTGTGTCTGTATGTATTTGCGTGTGTGTCTGTATGTATCTGCGTGGTCACTGCGCTGTGTGTGTGTCTGTATGTATCTGCGTGTGTGTCTGTATGTATCTGCGTGGTCACTGCGCTGTGTGTGTGTCTGTATGTATCTGCGTGTGTGTCTGTATGTATCTGCGTGTGTGTCTGTATGTATCTGCGTGGTCACTGCGCTGTGTGTGTGTCTGTATGTATCTGCGTGTGTGTCTGTATGTATCTGCGTGGTCACTGCGCTGTGTGTGTGTCTGTATGTATCTGCGTGTGTGTCTGTATGTATCTGCGTGTGTGTCTGTATGTATCTGCGTGGTCACTGCGCTGTGTGTGTGTCTGTATGTATCTGCGTGTGTGTCTGTATGTATCTGCGTGGTCACTGCGCTGTGTGTGTGTCTGTATGTATCTGCGTGTGTGTCTGTATGTATCTGCGTGGTCACTGCGCTGTGTGTGTGTCTGTATGTATCTGCGTGGTCACTGCGCTGTGTGTGTCTGTATGTATCTGCGTGGTCACTGCGCTGTGTGTGTGTGTCTTTGTGTATCAGTGACGATTTCTTTATTGAGCCGGTCCTAGGCCTTCCCCGAGGGTCGACTCAGCCTGAAATGAGTTGATATCTGCACTTGGGAGACAAAGGCGGTCGGGCGTGGTGCTGGCCACCCACCCCCTCGTGTGCCGTGCCGGCCTTCATAGGTGCTCGCTAACAGCACCTGCCCCAACAGTCTGTTGAGACTATACGGGGGATCTTTGTATCTATAGATATTGGGTGTATTTCCCTGTGTGTATGTATATATGTTGTGTATATACATTGTGTGCATGCGTAGTGTGTGTGCTGTATATACATTGTGTCAATATATGGTGTGATACATGTGTGTGTGTACATTGTGCCAATACATCCAGAACCTCCGATTAGCACGGTTGGCTACGTACGGTGCGAAAGAATTGCTACATACATGCATGTAGCATGTGTGTTAGCTGTGTATATACAGCACTGTGTGTATACAGTTCGATTGTCACACTGCGTGATTGTGTACGGGTGTGTGGGTGTGTGTTACCTGTGTGTGTAGGTGGTTGTGTGTGGATGGTTGTGTGTGTGTTACCTGTGTGTGGGTGGTTGTGTGTGAATGTTACCTGTGCGTGTAGCTGGGTGTGTGTGTGTAGGCGGGGTGACGGTGTAATGCTGTAATGCGTATGGGTGTGTGTGCATGCATGTAGGGTGTGTTAGGAGGGTGTGTTCGGGTGAGGGGGCGTGTGGCGGTGAGTGTATGCGGTTTGTGGAGGGGTGGAGGAACGATGATTGCATGGTGGATGTATGCAATAGATGGTGTATGCGTGCATGATGTATGCTTTATGTATTGTGTATGCTGCGTAGTGTGTGTATGATGCATGATGTATGTATGCATTGTGTGTGATGCGTTGTGTGTGGTGCATGGTGGATGTATGCAATAGATGGTGTATGCGTGCATGATGTATGCTTTATGTATTGTGTATGCTGCGTAGTGTGTGTATGATGCATGGTGTATGTATGCATTGTGTGATGCGTTGTGTGTGGTGCATGGTGTATGTATGCATTGTGTATGATGCGTTGTGTATGCGTAATGCATGGTGTATGTATGCATTGTGTACGTATTCATGGTGTGTGTGTATGCAAGGTGTATGTATACTGTGCACCGTGTGTTGTGCATGTATGATGGTGTACAGTATACACAAATGCTATCGCCTAGGTGGTGTAGAATCGGTTACCGGTTTTCGGAACGGCTAACCGTTTTCGGTGGAGCCGTTCAATTCACGAACGCACACGAAGCGACACGGCCTCGGGTCACCCTCCATGCTCGACGATTCCAAAGATAAAGGTGCAGTCAGGCCCTGCCGAAGGGAGTGGGGGGCATGCCCACACGCTGCCCCACCGCACGCCACTCACTCGCTTGCTGCTGCTGCTGTGTACAGGAGGTCGTGGGTTCGATCCCGACCCTGACGCCTGCTGCTGTTTATTTTGAGTTTGCGGTGTCTCTCTCTCTCATCATCATCATCACGGTGTCTGGGAGATGTTAACTACCTCGCCTGGTATGTAGGAGGTCGTGGGTTCGATCCCGACCTTGACGCCTGCTGCTGTATATTTGGAGTTTGCGTCTCTCTCATCATCATCATCACAGTGGCTAGGAGATGTTAACTACCTCGCCTGGTATGCAGGAGGTCGTGGGTTAGATCCCGACCCTGACGCCTGCTGCTGTATATTTGGAGTGTGCGTCTCTCTCATCATCATCATGGTGGCTGTGAGATGTTAACTACCTCGCCTGGTGTACAAGAGGTCGTGGGTTCGATCCCGACCCTGACGCCTGCTGCTGTATATTTGGAGTTTGTGTGTCTCTCTCTCATCATTATCACGGTGGCTGGGAGATGTTAACCACCTCGCCTGGTGTGCAGGAGGTCGTGGGTTCGATCCCGACCCTGACGCCTGCTGCTGTATATTTGGAGTTTGCGTGTCTCTCATCATCATCACGGTGGCTGGGAGATGTTTAACTACCTCACCTGGTGTACAGGAGGTCGTGGGTTCGAACCCCCGACCCTGACGCCTGCTGCTGTATATTTGCAGTTTGTGTGTCTCTCTCTCATCATTATCACGGTGGCTGGGAGATGTTAACCACCTCGCCTGGTGTGCAGGAGGTCGTGGGTTCGATCCCGACCCTGACGCCTGCTGCTGTATATTTGGAGTTTGCGTGTCTCTCATCATCATCACGGTGGCTGGGAGATGTTTAACTACCTCACCTGGTGTACAGGAGGTCGTGGGTTCGAACCCCCGACCCTGACGCCTGCTGCTGTATATTTGGAGTTTGCGTCTCTCATCATCATCATCACAGTGGCTAGGAGATGTTAACTACCTCGCCTGGTACGCAGGAGGTCGTGGGTTCGATCCCGACCCTGGCGCCTGCTGTGTATTTGGAGTTTGCGTGTCTCTCTCTCTCATCATCATCACGGTGGCTAGGAGATGTTAACTACCTCGCCTGGTGTGCAGGAGGTCGTGGGTTCGATCCCGACCCTGGCGCCTGCTGTGTATTTGGAGTTTGCGGTGTCTCTCTCCCCGTGGTCGCGTGGATTTTTCTCCGAGTCTTCCGGTTTCCCCCTCCACATTTAGAATCAACAACATCACACGCGTCTCGAGCAGCCTTGCACCCCTTTCGTTCTCAGTCGTTAAAAATGTACAATGTTAATACAAAAAACATGGGGTTTGCTGAGACAGCTCCCAATCAAATTTCGATTTAAAGCTTTCGTGACTGCAGGGATTCATCTTCTTGGTTCTTTCGGTAAAGTCACGTAGAAGAGAAATAATAAAATAATAAAAATAAAACATCATAAAATAATATAATATTATAATCATATAAAAACATTTTTTAATATGTTTTATTTGTATTATTTTATTATTTCCCTTCTACGTGACTTTACCGAAAGAACCAAGAAGAGGAAGCTCCCAATCAGATCATTCTTGATGACGAACGCTTGTGTTGCGATCGAAACGTAGTTTTTTTTTCGTAATTTTTTGTAATTTTCTTAGAACCTATCTACGTGACTTTACCCAAAGACCCAAAGAATATGAAACAAAGTAGCTGCTGCTTACATGCGCGTGCTCAATTCGTGTTTCCACGAGTGACTTTTCAAGACAATTCTGGCGACGTCTCGCACCCCCAGGAAGGAGCGTCTCGCACAGAGGGTGCGAGACGCGCCACGGGTGAAGAAGAAACACCGGGTTAGAGTGTTCGGCTGCGACACGATGATAAGCCACTTCGTCGAGGGTCCATTTGTGGGCAGGTCGCTTCTGAAAACAGGGCTACATCGCTCAGTGCGCATTAAATGGTGAAATGAAAATAGTAACAAAACATAAGCAGCTAAGCGCCTTCGTGGTTATTGTAGGAGGTTTTATATATGTGCGGAAAACCGGTAACCGTTATATTACCGGTTAGAGCAATTGTTCTGAACCTTTACTGCAGTCTGCAACCTCTTTGGTTCCCAGATTAAGAACCACTATGTTCGAGCAACCTTGGTCTCTTTATGGGTGTGACGCGTGCAGCGACGATTATCTGAACAGGTCCAGGGCGTCCACCAGGTCGACTCAGCCTGAAAATAGTATCTGGTGCGATGTGTTCACATCGTCACTGGGGAGACAAAGGCGGTCAGGCGTTATCCCGACCACCCACAACTCCTCGTGTGCCGTGCCGGCCTTCATAGGTGCTCGCTAACAGCACTTGCCCCTACAGTCTGTTAAGGCTATACGGGGGATCTTTGTCTTTGTCATGTATGTGGAACTTCTTTCGCACCGTGCCTAGCCAACCGTGCTAATCGGGGGGCATGGGCGTATTGGCTCGGTATTCAGAAGTCTCCAATCGGTAACTATTCATAAGCAGTACACATTGAATCACTGTTCATCAGGACATAAGTTGAGGCTTTCCAAATCTCTACCGAGGCTCTCTATTCACTCGCTCTATACAAGGGCCATTGCCCGAAACGTCTCATGCTATATATTATTTTTCGTTCATTTTAAAGTCGCGCCAGTTTCGTCGTCGTCGTTATTGGTGGTCGTGTTGCACCACTCCGAACAAGGTTCCGTGTGGAGTGGTCGTAGCGCGTGTGGTGTTGTGGCGTGTGAGGGAGGGAGGAACGGGGTAGGTGGGGGGTGAGGGAGGGAGGAGGGGGGTAGGTGGGAGGGTGAGGGAGGTAGGGGATGGGTAGGTGGGAGGGTGAGGGAGGGAGGGAGGGGGGTAGGTGAGAGGGTGAGGGAGGGAGGAGGGGGGTAGGTGGGGAGGGTGAGGGAGGGAGGAGGCGGGTAGGTGGGGAGGGTGAGGGAGGGAGGAGAGGGGTAGGTGGGGGGGGTGAGGGAGGGAGGGGGGAGGTAGGTGGGAGGGTTGAGGGAGGGAGGAGGGGGGTAGGTGGGGAGGGTGAGGGAGGGAGGAGGGGGGTAGGTGGGAGGGTGAGGGAGGGAGGAGGGGGGTAGGTGAGAGGGTGAGGGAGGGAGGGAGGTAGGTGGGGGGGGTGAGGGAGGGAGGAGGGGGGTAGGTGGGGGGGGTGAGGGAGGGAGGAGGGGGGTAGGTGGGGGGGTGAGGGAGGGAGGAGGGGGGTAGGTGAGAGGGCGAGGGAGGGAGGAGGCGGGTAGGTGGGGGGGTGAGGGAGGGAGGAGGGGGGTAGGTGGGGGGGGTGAGGGAGGGAGGAGGGGGGTAGGTGGGAGGTGAGAGGGAGGGAGGGGGGCGAGGGGAGGGGCCCCGTTGCTAGGGGCTACGCAGACGCTAGGGTTACCGCGGTGTTTGTCAAACCCCGAGGGCCGCGACTCCCGCGCACAGAGCGCGCGGAGACGAGAGGCGAGAGACGTGTGGAGGTGGTGGAGGTGGTGGAGGTGGTGGAGGTGGTGGTGGTGGAGGTGGTGGAGGTGGTGGAGGTGGTGGTGGAGGTGGTGGAGGTGGTGGAGGTGGTAGGGGCGACGAGGTGGAGATGGGGAGACAGGGGAGACGAGCGGCAGAGTGACGAGGCGTTGTGGAGGTGAGGTGGATGACGACGACGATGTTGCTGTGGTGTTTGGTTGCCATTCAGCTCAAGATCCTCCTCCTACTCAGCGTCTCCCTCACCACCCCCCCTCACCCCCCCCTCACCCCCCTCACTGCGTCTCCCTCACCTCCTCCTCACCCCCCTCACCCCTCCTCACCCCCTCCTCACCCCCCTCACCGCGTCTCCCTCACCCCCTCCTCACCCCCCTCCTCACCCCTCCCCACCGCGTCTCCCTCACCCCCTCCTCACCCCCCTCCTCACCCCTCCCCACCGCGTCTCCCTCACCCCCCCTCACCCCCCTCCTCACCCCCCCCCCTCACCGCGTCTCCCTCACCCCCTCCTCACCCCCCTCCTCACCCCTCCCCACCGCGTCTCCCTCACCCCCCCTCACCCCCTCCTCACCCCCCCCCCCTCACCGCGTCTCCCTCACCCCCTCCTCACCCCCTCCTCACCCCCCCCTCACCGCGTCTCCCTCACCCCCTCCTCACCCCTCCCCACCGCGGTCTCCCTCACCCCCTCCTCACCCCCCTCCTCACCCCTCCCCCACCGCGTCTCCCTCACCCCCCCCCCCTCACCCCCTCCTCACCGCGTCTCCCTCACCCCCTCCTCACCCCCCTCCTCACCGCGTCTCCCTCACCCCTCCTCCCTCACCCCCTCCTCACCCCCCCCCTCACCGCGTCTCCCTCACCCCCTCTCACCCCCCTCTCACCGCGTCTCCCTCACCCCCCCCTCACCCCCCCCCTCACCCCCTCCTCACCCCCTCCTCACCGAGTCTCCCTCACCCCCCCTCACCCTCTCCTCACCCCCTCCTCACCGCGTCTCCCTCACCCCCCAACAACGCCTTCCCCCCTACTAATCCTCCCCCTCCCCCCTCCCCCCCCAGCCTCAGTATACGACGCTGCTGGGCCCCGTGTCGGCCGCCGGGGTGCAGGGAGCCCCCCGCATGGAGAGGGGCGGCAGCCCCTTCGGCTCGGAGCCCGGGGGTCCGCTGGCGTCGCCCTCGCCCTACGCGCAGCCCAGCTCCACGTACGAGGCCGCGTCGCCCGCCGCGGCCATCCCCTCCATCACGGACTACCCGGGACCACACGGGTTCGACGTCTCCTTCCAGCAGAGCAGCACCGCCAAGTCCGCCACGTGGACGGTGAGGTGGGGGGGGGGGGGGCACGGGGGGGGGGGGGGGCACGCGGGCATGGGGGGCACGGGGGGGGACGCGGAGGATGAGGAACACGGGAGCCACGGGGGGCATGGGCGGTCACGGGGGTCACGGGGGGTATGGGGGTCACGGGGACATGGGGATCACGGGGGTATGATTGGCATGGGGGTCACGGGGGTATGAGGGGCATGGGGGTCACGGGGGTATGGGGGTCACGGGGGGTATGGGGGTCACGGGGGCCTGGGGATCACGTGGTGTATGGCAAACACGTGAGGCAAGGAGGAGATACGGAAGTGGATGTCGGTGGGCACAGAAGCAGACAAGTGAGTACAGTATGGAGGAGGAAAGGGAGAAAGGGGGTCTCACGGGGACACGCGGGGAAGGACAGGGGGTAGACTGGGGGTAGAGACAGAAGAGGGGGGGGTGATGGAACACGGGGAGACGCGAAGGCGATCCTTGTAAAGAGCTGGTCAAGGAGATGTTGGGACGTGGTGAGGCAGACACGCAGCCTTGCCTCACTCACCCCGCGTAGTCCTCACCCTGCTGCTCACCATCTCCTTCACCCCTCTACACAGCACTAACTCACTCACACACCACGTGACCCCTACCCCCATCACTACCTCACTCACACACCACGTGACCCCTACCCCCATCATCACCTCACTCACACACCACGTGACCCCTCTCCCCATCATCACCTCACTCACACACCACGTGACTCCTCTCCCCATCATCACCTCACTCACACACCACGTGACCCCTACCCCCATCATCACCTCACTCACACACCACGTGACCCCTCCCCCTTTCATCACCTCACTCACACACCACCTCACCCCTCCCCCCATCATCACCTCACTCACACACCACGTGACTCCTCTCCCCATCATCACCTCACTCACACACCACCTCACCCCTCCCCCCATCACTACCTCACTCACACACCACGTGACTCCTCTCCCCATCATCACCTCACTCACACACCACCTCACCCCTCCCCCCATCACTACCTCACTCACACACCACGTGACTCCTCTCCCCATCATCACCTCACTCACACACCACCTCACCCCTCCCCCCATCACTACCTCACTCACACACCACGTGACCCCTACCCCCATCACTACCTCACTCACACACCACGTGACCCCTCTCCCCATCATCACCTCACTCACACACCACCTCACCCCTCCCCCCATCATCACCTCACTCACACACCACGTGACCCTCCCCCATCATCACCTCACTCACACACCACCTCACCCTTCTCCCCATCACTACCTCACTCACACACCACGTGACCCCTACCCCCATCACTACCTCACTCACACACCACGTCACTCCTCTCCCCATCACTACCTCACTCACACACCACGTGACCCCTACCCCCCATCACTACCTCACTCACACACCACGTGACCCCTCCCCCCCACCATCACCTCACTCACACACCACGTGACCCCTTCCCCCATCATCACCTCACTCACACACCACCTCACCCTTCTCCCCACCATCACCTCACTCACACACCACGTGACCCCTCCCCCCATCATCACCTCACTCACACACCACGTGACCCCTCGCCCCCACCATCACCTCACTCACACACCACGTGACCCCTCCCCCCTTCATCACCTCACTCACACACCACGTGACCCCTCCCCCCTTCATCACCTCACTCACACACCACGTGACCCCTCCCCCCTTCATCACCTCACTCACACACCACGTGACCCCTCCCCCCTTCATCACCTCACTCACACACCACGTGACCCCTCCCCCTATCATCACCTCACTCACACACCACGTGACCCTCCCCCCTTCATCACCTCACTCACACACCACGTGCCCCCCCCCCCCTTCATCACCTCACCCACACACCACGTGACCCCTCCCCCCTTCATCACCTCACTCACACACCACGTGACCCCTCTCCCATCACTACCTCACTCACACACCACGTGACCCCTCCCCCATCATCACCTCACTCACACACCACCTCACCCCTCTCCCCATCATTACCTCACTAACACACCACCATCGACTAAACCTCTCCTCCCGCCTCCCCCCTCACCTCAGTACTCACCGGACCTGAAGAAGCTCTACTGCCAGATCGCCAAGACGTGCCCCATCCAGTTCAAGGTGTTGTCCGTGCCGCCGCCGCCCGCGGGCTGCGTGCTGCGCGCCATGCCCGTCTACAAGAAGGCGGAGCACGTGACCGAGGTGGTGAAGCGGTGCCCCAACCACGAGCTGGGCCGCGACTTCAACGAGGGTGAGCTCAGGCGGGCACGCGGCGTGAGGGGTCACGGGAACACGGGGGAGAGACACCGGGGCGATATCGGGGAGGCTGGGGGGGGTGGTGGGGACACACGAGGGGAGACACAGGGAGACCACGCCGACGAGAGATGGGGGAGGAGGGTGACACGCGGTGGAAGGGAGGCTCGGGCAAGGCGTCCCCACGGTGTCCCAGTGTCTCACGCTGTGCCCGCGCTGTGCCCCCCCCCCCCCCCTAGCCGGACAGACGGCCCCCCCGAGTCACCTGATCCGCGTGGAGGGGAACAACCACGCACAGTACGCAGAGGACGCGGTCAGCGGGCGGCAGAGCGTGGTGGTGCCCTACGACTCACCACAGGTGAGCAGCCTCACCAACCACTCGCCGCTCACTCACCAGCCTCACCACTCACACACACAGCGTGGTGGTGCCCGACGACTCACCACAGGTGAGCAGCCTCACCAACCACTCACCGCTCACTCACCAGCCTCACGACTCACACGCAGCGTGGTCGTGCCCTACGACTCACCACAGGTGAGCCTCGCCAACGACTCACTCACCAGCCTCACCATGGTACCGGTGTGGTGTTTCCGTGGTGGTGTGTGTGGTCGCGGTGTGCAGGTGGGGACAGAGTTCACCACGGTTCTTTACAACTTCATGTGCAACAGCAGCTGCGTGGGCGGCATGAACCGGAGACCCGTGCTCATCATCATCACCCTGGAGACGCGCGAGTGAGGGATACAATCTCGACTCACCACCATCATCACCATCACCACCATCACCATCACCACTCACAAACATCACCATCACTGTTGACACGACCATTACCGCCACCATCACCACCATCATCATCACCACCACTCACAAACATCACCATCACTGTTGACACGACCATTACCACCATCATCACCACCACCATCATCATCACCATCACTTACAAACATCACCATCACTGTTGACACGACCATTACCACCATCACCACCATCATCATCACCACCACTCACAAACATCACCATCACTGTTAACACGACCATTACCGCCATCATCACCACCACCATCATCATCACCATCTCTTACAAACATCACCATCACTGTTAACACGACCATTACCACCATCATCACAACTCACAAACATCACCATCACTGTTAACACGACCATTACCATCATCACCACCATCATCATCATCACCACTCACAAACATCACCATCACTGTTGACACGACCATTACCATCATCACCACCACCATCATCATCACCACCGCTCACAAACATCACCATCACTGTTGACACGACCATTACCATCATCACCACCATTATCATTATCACCACCGCTCACAAACATCACCATCACTGTTGACACGACTATTACCACCATCATCACCATCACCACCATCATCATCATCACCACCACTCACAAATATCACCATCACTGTTGACACGACCATCATCACCATCACCACCACCACCATCATCCACGTTCCCAAGTGCCCAAAGATGTCTCCCTCGGCCTTCGTGAGTCCCGTGACCCCATGACCCCCACGTAGAGTCGCCACCTTTCCCACCATCAGCCAATCCCAGGACAGACCTCTCGGTCAGCACGAGGTCGATCACCAGAACAGTGCAGTCACCAAAGATCCCCCATGTAGCCTTAACAGACTGTTGGGGCAAGTGCGGTTCGCGAGCAGCACCAATGAAAGCCGGCACGGCACACGACGGGGTGGGTTGTCGGCACCCCGCCCGGCCGCCTTTGTCTCCCCAGTGGCGATGTTTACACACCGCACCGCGTGCTCGTTTGAGGCCGAGCCGAGTTCCAACGCCAAACACCGCGGCACCAGAATCCATTCCCGCCGCCGGGCGCCAAAACCCGATGCCGCCGCCGCCGATCCTCCTGCGCCAACTGATTGACGTGTGCCCCCGGGACGATGCCCGTTGACCTCTACCCGTGACCTCTGTGCCGCCCTCCCCCGCCCGCCCCCTCCCCCCCCAGCGCGCAGGTGCTGGGTCGCCGCTGCTTCGAGGCGCGGATCTGCGCGTGCCCCGGCCGCGACCGCAAGGCGGACGAGGAGAACTTCCACCGGCAACAGCAGCCCCTGGACCCCGCGGGGGGCGGCAAGGGGGGCACCAGCGCCGTGGGGGGGCTCGGGGGGCCCGGCAAGAGGCGTGAGTGAGGGGGGGGGGGAGCAGGGAGGCGGGGGGGTGACACATTTGCACGTGGCGTGTGTGTGTGTACGTGTGTGTCCACAAGGGGTTGTGTACGTGGTAGTGTAGCGGTTGGCGCGCTGCGCTACGAACCCGGCGACCTGGGTTCTATTCACGCTCACGGCCAACACCGGTGACGATTATCTGAACCGGTCCTGGGCCTCCCCTAGGTCGACTCGGCCTCAAATTAGTACCTGGTGCGGTGTGTAAACATCACCGCCCCCCTCGTGTGCCGTGCCGGCCTTCATAGGTACTACTCTCTAACAGCACTTGCCCCTACAGTCTGTTAAAGGCTATTGGGGGGGTTCTTTGTCTTTGTAAATGTACACGTGTGTGTGTGTACACCCATGTAGAGGAGCGGTTGCACAGTGATTAGTGCTGCACCGCCCAACACGGCTGACACCAGTGACGAATATCCAAACTGGTCATGGGCTTTCTCTAGATCGACTCAACCTTAAACAAGCACCTGGTGCGGTGTGTAGTAAACATCGCCACTGGGGAGACAAAGGCGGCCGAGCGTGGCGCTGTCCACCCGCCCCCTCGTGCGCCGTGCCGACCCTCATAGGCGCTGCTCGCTAACAGCACTTGCCCCTACAGTCTGTTAAGGCTACACGGGGGGATCTTTGTCTTTGTCTCAGCTATGAAGCAAGGCTCCCCTGGCCTCCACACATCCTCGGGCACCAAGAAGCGGCGACTCGGGGACGACGATGTCTACTACGTCCCCGTGAGTCCCCTCGTCACCCCCCCCCCCCCCGCCTCTCATCGCCACGGGGGTCTCTGAGTAACTCCGCCCGTGTCTGTAAACGCGGGTGGGGTCACATCCCGTCGCCGTGTGTCACGCTGTGTCACGTCGCGTCACGTGGCGTGTCACATCACCCCGCCTCGTCGTGTCACATCACTTTGCCTCGTGGTGTCACGTGGCGTGTCGTGGTGTCACGTCTCGTGCCGTGACCCCGTGCCGCCGTGCCGCTGCAGGTGCACGGCCGTGAGAACTACGAGGTGCTCATGAAGATCAAGGAGTCGCTGGAGCTGAGCCAGTTCGTGCCCAGCGGAGCCGTGGAGGCCTACAGGCAGCAGCAGCAGCAGCTCTTCCAGCAGCAGTAGGGGCACTCACCCTCACCCCACCCTCACCCGACACTCACCTGGCACTCACCCGACACTCACCTGGCACTCACCTGACTCTCACCTCACCTGACTCTGACCTGACCCGACACTCACCTACCACTCACCTGGCACTCACCTGAGATTCACACGATTCTCACCTTAAACTCACCTGGCACTCACCTCACCCTCACTGGCTCTTACCTGACTCTCACCTCACACTCACCTGACACTCACCTCACCCTCACCTGAGATTCACCCGATTCTCACCTGAAACTCACCTGACTCTCACCTCACACTCACCTGACACTCACCTCACCCTCACCTGAGATTCACCCGATTCTCACCTGAAACTCACCTGACTCTCACCTCACCCTCACCTGAAACTCACCTACCACTCACCTGGCACTCACCTCACCCTCACCTGACTCTTACCTGGCACTCACCTCACCTGACACTCACCTGACGCTCACCTCTCTATCACCTCTCACCTCACCCTGGCCTGGCTTTCACCTGGCTCTCACCTTGACCTGGAGCCCTGGCTAGACGCACGCCTCAACCGTGGCCTACCCATGCTCCTGACCTTGCACTGCCAGAGGTCCTGGCCTGGACCCTGACGCTCACCATGATCCTTGGCTCAACCTTTTTTTTCCGCATCGCCTTTAATTGCAAGCTGCCGAGCACAGGGCCCAGCAAACGCCCAAGCGGCCAGCGACAAACAGCACGGATTAATTTTCAATGGAATCAGAGTCTTTTAGACTTAAAGCTTTCGTGACTGCAGGAATTCATATTCTTTGGGTCTTTTGGTAAAGTCACGTGGATAGGTTCAAAGAAAATAAAAAAATAAAAAAAACTACGACGTTTCGCTGCCCACCACTTACATTAACATTGGCTGCTGACATTTGGGCAACGCCCATTTCAAACCTTTATAAACAGTTTGTCTTTAGAAGCTAACCCCCCTTTTCCTGATGACGACCGCTTGTGTTGCGATCGAAACGTCGTGGTTTTATTGTTATTTTGTTATTTTCTTTGAACCGATCTACGTGACGTTACCGAAAGACCCAAAGAATAATCAGAGTATTTATTTATACCGGAGGTATCCGACGAGCTATCAAGCCGTTTTTCGTTTCCACAGATGTCCTGCGGATAGGGGTAACAACAGATCTGAGTTATGAACATGTTTCTTGAGTCGGGGGAGCCTGCCGATGTAGGGTCCCAATCGAGTAACTCGCAAGAGGAATCTTCAGCATTGGGCCGATGTCTTGTTTTGTGTGTTGGTCGATACCCAGTTCCACAGTGCGTGTGGGTTTAGCTATGGGAGGAGGAGGAAACGGGAGAACCCGGAAGAACCGGGGACAGAGAGAGAACACACACGCAGACTCCATACAGAGACAGAGAGAGAGGGGGGCGCCCGGGTGGGGAATCGAACCCGGCTGCTTCTTGCACCTGGGTTGGTCACCACAGCACTGCCGCCATAGCCCGAACCGTCGAGGACACGCATCGTAGACGGTGGACAGCGGAGAGAGGGGACCAGGAGGAAGAGAGGGTGGGGGTTTGATCCACCCCCCACCCTTCCCTCTGCCCCCCCCCATGCCCTAACCTTGACCTGACCCCGTGACCCCTGTCCAGACCCTGTGACCTCTTCCCCCCATCTCTCCCCAGGCCGTGCCTGCAGTCGCAGCTCCCCTACCCGGGCCCCCCTCTGCCCATGGGGCCCAAGCTGCCGTCGGTCAGCCAGTTCGTGGGCCACGGCGCCATGGGTACGGCGCTCACTCAGCCTCGCAGCGCCACGTGTCCCCGTGTCCTCACGTCCCCCTGTCCCCCTGTCTCCATATCCTCACGTCCCTGTGTCCCCGTGTCTCCATATCCTCACGTCCACGTGTCCCCGTGTCCCCATATCCTCACGTTCACGTACCCCCGTGTCCTCACGTCCACATGTCCCCGTGTCTCCGTGTCCCTGTGTCTCCGTATCCTCACGTCCACGTGTCCCCGTGTCTCCATATCCTCACGTCCCCGTGTCCACGCGTCCCCGTGTCCCCGTGTCTCCGTATCCTCACGTCCACGTGTCCCCGTGTCTCCATATCCTCACGTCCCCGTGTCCACGCGTCCCCGTGTCCCCGTGTCTCCGTATCCTCACGTCCACGTGTCCCCGTGTCTCCATATCCTCATGTCCACGTGTCCACGCGTCCCCGTGTCCACGCGTCCCCGTGTCTCCGTGTCTCCGTATCCTCACGTCCCCGTGTCCACGCGTCCCCGTATCCCCGTGTCCCCGTGTCTCCGTATCCTCACGTCCCCGTGTCCACGCGTCCCCGTATCCCCGTGTCCCCGTGTCCCCGTGTCCACGCGTCCCCGTGTCCACGCGTCCCCGTGTCTCCGTGTCTCCATATCCTCACGTCCAGATGTCCCCGTGTCCCCGTGTCCCCGTGTCCCCGTGTCCTCAAGTCCACGTGTCCACGTGTCCGCCCGTGCAGGGACGCCGATGCTGAACGGGCACACGGGGCTGCACGGGGACCTGAACGGAGTGAGCTCCACGCAGCTGCACCTCCCCACGCCCACCCACTGCACCCCCCCTCCCTACAGCCCCGAGTCTGTGGCCAGGTACCCCCGCAATGCACCACCACAACACAAACCACCATATACCACCATAATAACCAGTCACAATAACCACACTCACAACCGTGACAATTACAACATGCCAACAATCACCACAACCACGATCACAGCACAACCACGACAGCTACAACGTGCCTACAACAACACCAACCACACGATGATGGTGATGATGATATAGTGATACAAAATATAGACGATGATGATTGTGATGCTGATGATGATGTTGATAATGGTGATGATGTGGGTGGTGAAGATGGTGCTGGTGATGGTAGCGATGATGAAGGTGATGATAATGTTGACAGTGGTGACGGTGACCCGTACGTGTGTGCGTGTGTGATGTCGTGAGAGAGAGAGAGCGAGGAAGGGTGAGGCTGCCCTCATAATCTGTGACCCCCCCCCCACCCCCACCGTGACCCCCGTAGCTTCTTGACACGACTTGGCTGCGTCGCGTGCGTCGACTTCTTCACGAGCCAGGGCCTGCAGTACGCCAACGAGGTGGCCCAGCTGAGCCCGCAGGTACGGGGGGCGGTGGGGCAACCCTCGGCCCACACGCACGCGGGGACACGCGGGGACACGCGGGGTCGCGGGGTCGCGGGGTCGGGGAGAGCGGCGGCGCCGCGCTCAGCGCACCGCGCTGCGAGACGCCGGGCGCTCGTTTGAGGCCGAGCCGACCTAGGGGCTGGCGTCGGGACTGGGCTCCCCAGGCGGTCGCCGCTGACAACGGTGGCCGTGGTTGGGAATCGAACCTCGTGCCCAGCCCGCCAGCCACACACACAAAGACAAAGGTCCCCCCCCGTGTAGCCTACGCAGCCTGTTGGGGAAAGTGCTTTTAGCGAGCACCTACAGTGAGGGAAAAAACTATTTGATCCCCTGTTGATTTTGTACGTTTGCCCACTGACAAAGAAATGATCAGTCTATAATTTTAATGGTAGGTTTATTTGAACAGTGAGAGACAGAATAACAACAACAAAATCCAGAAAAACTGTCAAAAATGTTATAAATTGATTTGCATTTTAATGAGGGAAATAAGTATTTGACCCCTCTGCAAAACATGACTTAGTACTTGGTGGCAAACCCCTTGTTGGCAATCACAGAGGTCAGACGTTTCTTGTAGTTGGCCACCAGGTTTGCACACATCTCAGATAGGATTTTGTCCCACTCCTCTTTGCAGATCTTCTCCAAGTCATTAAGGTTTTGAGGCTGACGTTTGGCAACTCGAACCTTCAGCTCCCTCCACAGATTTTCTATGGGATTAAGCTCTGGAGACTGGCTAGGCCACTCCAGGACCTTAATGTGCTTCTTCTTGAGCCACTCCTTTGTTGCCTTGGCCGTGTGTTTTGGGTCATTGTTATGCTGGAATACCCATCCACGACCCATTTTCAATGCCCTGGCTGAGGGAAGGAGGTTCTCACCCAAGATTTGACGGTATATGGCCCCGTCCATCGTGTGCCTGTGTGTGTGTCTGTGTGTGTGTCTGTGTGTGTGTGTCTGTGTGTGTGTGTCTGTGCCTGTGTAGTGGGGAGCGGTGGTGTAGCGGTTAGCGCTACGCTGCGCTATGAACCTGGCGACCCGGGTTCGATTCCCGCTCACGGCCAACACCCAGTGACGATTATCTGAACCGGTCCTGGGCCTCCTCTAGGTCGACTCAGCCTCAAATCAGTACCTGGTGCAGTGTGTGGTAAACATCGCCACTGGGGAGACAAAGGCGGTCGGGCGTGGTGCTGGCCACCCACTCCCTCGTGTACCGTTCCGGCCTTTATAGGTGCTCGCTAACAGCACTTGCCCCTACAGTCTTTGTCTTTGTGTTCCTGTGTGTGTGCTCATGTGTGTGTGCTCGTGTGTGTGTGCCCGTGCGTGTGTGCATGCCCATGTGTGTGTGTGTGCCCATGTGTGTGTGCTCACGTGTGTGTGTGTGCTCGTGTGTGTGTGTGCCCCTGTGTGTGTGCCTGTGCCCGTGCGTGTGTGTGTGTGTGCCCATGTGTGTGCGCGCTCACGTGCACGCGTGTGTCGCTCCCCCCCTGCGTGCGTCCCCAGGACCTGGAGATGCTGAAGATCCCAGAGCAGTACCGCGCCGCCATCTTCAAGGGGATCCTCGAGCTGAGGTCCCCGCTGCACGACTACGGGACCCCCTCCCACCCGCCGCCCCCGCATCCCCTGCAGCAGCACCAGCAGCAGCACCAGCAGCAGCAACAGCAGCAGCACCAGCAGCAGCAACAGCAGCAGCAGCAGCACCAGCTGCTGCAGAGGCAGGCGAGCGGAGGAGGGCCCCTGGGAGCGAGCTCTGCCGTGGGGATGGTCCCCACGGCGGAGCTCCGCGAGGAGCGGATCATCGACGCGGTTCACTTCACGCTCAGGCAGACGGTGCAGATGCCGCGGCACCACGACTGGGTGGAGTACGGGTTCGACCTCCCGGACGGGGCTAAGCGCTGCAAGCAGCAGCAGCAGCAGCAGATCAAGGAGGAGTACAAGGAGGTGCACTGACCGCTGCACGTGGGAATGTTGGAGGGCGGCCGTGGGGTCACGGCCGGGGCGGTGAGGACTTGAGCGGTGATGGTGGTGGTGGTGGCGGCGGCGGCAGCAGCATCATCATCAGCAGCAGCATCAGCAGCATCGTCGTCAGCAGCTTCAGTAGCAGAAGCTGTGGTGGTGGTCGTGGCAATGGGGGTTGGTATGGCAGCAGCAGCATGATCAGTCATCATCATCATCAAAATCATTCTCAATAGCGGCTTGTATCATACGCATTTGTAGCACTTATGTAATCAATTCCATTATCACAACCACCGTCAGCAGCATCAGTAGCACTTATCAATCAATGCCATCACCACCGTCGTCAACAGCAGTATCGTCGGTGCCGCCACCGTCACCTGCACAAGCAGAAAAAAATCATCAGCACCATCACGATCATCATCGACATTTACACGCACATTCCTGTTTCTCATAGCCAGGTGCCTCCTGGGAATGAGACTCCCATCGTGGTCTCTTGAGTCCACACCTGGTCACACAGACAAAGACCCCCGTTCAGCCTCAACAGACCGCTGGGGCAAGTGCTGTTAGCGAGTAGCACCTATGAAGGTCGGCACGGCACACGCGGGGGTGGTTTGCGAGCACCACGCCTAGGCCGCCTTTGTCGATGTTTTACAGACCGCACCAGGTACTCATTTGAGGCCGAGTCGACTTAGGAGAGGCCCAGAACCGGTTCAGATAATCGTCACTGGTTCTGGCCTTGAGCGGGAATCGAACTCGGGTTGCCGGGTTCGTAGCGCAGCGCGCTAACCGCTACACTACCGCTCCCTATACACGCACACACCAATATACACACCATCACACGCACCCTCCCCAACTCACCATGCTCATAATCTTAATCACAAGTCTTCAGCAACAGAAACATCACATAACCGATGCCTCCATCATCGTATAATCAATATCAGCAGCATCAACAGTATCAGAATACATGCCTCCATCATCATATTATCAATATCATCATCAGTATCACAATGCATGTCTCTATCATCATCATCAGCAGCATCATCATCGGCCTGCACGGATTCCCTGGGGCTGATGGGAAGCGCGGCGACGAGGGGGCCACTGTCGGCACTCAACCCCTGGCTCGCAGCGACTTTGCTCACAATGATATCTTTTTTAAAATGTGTAATTTATTACAATGCTCTTCTTCATCATCATCATCACTGTTGTTATCGCGTGAGTCGTCTTTGTTCTTGTAGTGGTTGTCGTAGTGAATGTGGCAGTGGTTGCGGGCCAGACTGCAAACGTGGGATCACGTGTCGCTCGCTTGCCCGCTCGCTCACAGGGGCCCTTACGCTCCCCCCGGCGAGAGGCGCCTCTCTATCGCTCGCTCTGTTCTTACGAGGGAGAGAGGCCTGCGACCAGAGGGAGGGAGACCTGGGCTCAGTGACAGCGAGATCTGGGACCAGTGACATGGAAATCTGGAACCAGTGACATGGAAATCTGGAACCAATGCCACGGAGATTTGGGAACAATGAGATGGAGATTTGGGACCAGTGACAGGGAGATTTGGGACCAATGAGATGGAGATCTGGGACCAGCAACAGGGAGACCTGGGAACAGTGAGATTGAGACCTGCGTAGAGTAAGCAGGAACCCTGGGAGCCAATGGGAGATCTGGGTACAGTGAGAGAGATCTGGGTCAAGGTGAGAGGGAGACCTGGGTTCATTATCATCACCAACAGCTTCATCATCATCACACAATCAATGCCTTCATCATCAGAAACAGCAGTGCGTTGCTGCAGAATCATCTGTAAGCAGGCAGCGGTGTCATCATCTCTATCATCGTCGTAGCGCCACTTGGAGACTTGACCTTGCCACGGGAATGTGGAATTGCCACCGCTGGGGAACGCTGCGGCCACTCGGGCCGCTCAAGTTTGGAGGCTTTGCTCGGTGTTTTTTTGCTGTCGTAGCCTGAACGTGGCTCAACTTGTACACAGTAGTTCGAGTAGGCCCGAGAAGAGGCAATCTCCCCCCTCCACCCCCCCCCCCCCCCTTCTCGCCTGGACCTCCCGTCCCCGGGGGCCTCGTTTAAAACGGGGCAGAGGGAACCGAGTTGACGTGGGACACCCTCGGGCCTACATGCTGGGCCCTGCGGTTGTTGTTGTTGGAGGGGAGCAGGGGGTTCTAAAACGTACACACGAGGCGGTTTAGTGACGGGCGAGGGAGACGGGAGGACGGTGTGTGGCTCGGTGCCCGTGCCCCTCTCGAAGAGTCTGTTCCTCATGGATTATCAAAGAGTCTGTTCCTAATAGGGAATCAAAGAGTCTGTTCCTCATGGATTATCAAAGAGTCTGTTCCTAATAGATTCTCAGTTTGTTTCTAATATATTCTCAAATATTCTGCTCCTAATAGATTATCATGATCATGTTCCTAATAGATTATCAAAGAGTCTGTTCCTAATAGATTCTCAACGATTATGTTCCTAATATATTCTCAAAGAACCTGTTCCTAAGAGGCTGTTCTAACATTTTCTCACCTACCAAGAGGCTGTCCTGATCGAATTTTCCATCTCAGAACCAGACTCTTTATTTAGACTGGAAGAATCCGATGAATCTCGTTCTCACAGATGTCCAGTAGGGGCACGGGGTCAGCGAGCTGCAATCTGTTGGGTGTGTTGTCTCGGCCTGTTCAGAACTGATTCTCAACAGCCTTGTTTCCCATCTGATTCTCAGGATCAGTTTCTGATCCTCCCGTCTGCTCTGCTCTGTTTCGCAAGGGTCAAGGGTCAAGGCAGCTGCGGGAAGTCTGTCCCGGCGGCCTCTTCGCCAAAACAACTTTAAGCACAAATCTGCCTTTTGTCCCCAATTTTTTGTTGGTGTTCGACTCACGACCCCCCTACCCCCCCCCGGGAGTAGCTGGCAGGGCTGGTGGGAGGGAGATGCCGGCGGCAGATCGCCACGCGTCCCCCGGTGGAAGCTCCGAGACATTTGGCAGAGTGGGATCCTGTCCGCGTCCGGCACTGGCAATCCGTTCCCGTCTGGCACCTTAAGAGGGTTGTTCCTGTCCCGTGTTCCCGCCCGCTTTCCCCGCTGTGTTCCCGACTGGAACGCGGTTGGGGGTCGTCGCGCGCCGTCGTGTCCGCTGTCGCGTTATTGGGCGCTGGGGGTGTGCGGCGTCTGTGTGTGTCTTGTGTGTTAACGGGGAGTTCGGGTCTGGGGCCGTCCATAAATGACGGCACGCACCTGGTGGGGGGGGGGGGGGGGTCAGACATTTGTGACGATGTGTGACGAAGGGGGGGGGGGGGGGTTGAGAAATGTGACGTCACATCAAAAAGCGCAACTTTAAATAAATATAGACAACACGTTCTACTTAATTAAATATATACTTTAATAAATGTTTTCTCATACAACATCAGAGTGCAGCGCCACATTAAATACGCACTACAATGACAATAGTTTAAAGCGATTTGAAGCATGTTTTATTTTCAAAATGGAAATATGTTTGGGGGGGGGCAGAGCTTTGTAACGTCATATTTGAGGGGGGTCTAACTTTTTGTGACGCCGTGTTACGGGGGGGGGGGGGTCAAAAATCGTCCAAAATCGCGTGACGTCATTTATGGACGACCCCTTAGTAGAGGGGAGTGAGTGCACGTGCGTGCGTGTGTGTGTGGGGCTTGCTGGAGCAGCCCTGGGCCCCCCTTACGTCCCCCCCCCACCTCACCGTGAGCAGCGCTCGGCTCTCTTTTTGCCCCCCCCTCTCCGTGCCCCCCCCCTCTCTCTCTGCCCCCCCTCTCTCTCCGTGTCCCCCCTCTCCGTGCCCCCCCTCTCTCCGTGCCCCCCTTTCTCTCCGTGCCCCTCCCTTTCTCCGTGCCCCCCTTTCTCTTCGTGCCCCCCCTCTCTCCATGCCCCCCTCTCTCCGTGCCCCCCTCTCTCCATGCCCCCTCTCTCCGTGCCCCCCTCCCTCTGTGCCCCCCTCTCTCTCCGTGCCCCCCTTTCTCTCCGTGCCCCCCCTCTCCGTGCCCCCCCTCTCTCCGTGCCCCCCTTTCTCTCCGTGCCCCTCCCTTTCTCCGTGCCCCCCTTTCTCTTCGTGCCCCCCCTCTCTCCATGCCCCCCTCTCTCCGTGCCCCCCTCTCTCCATGCCCCCTCTCTCCGTGCCCCCCTCCCTCTGTGCCCCCCTCTCTCTCCGTGCCCCCCTTTCTCTCCGTGCCCCCCCCTTTCTACGTGGCCCCCTTTCTCTCCGTGCCCCCCTCTCTCCATGCCCCCTCTCTCCGTGCCCCCTCTCTCCGTGCCCCCCTCCCTCTGTGCCCCCCCTCTCTCTCCGTGCCCCCCTTTCTCTCCGTGCCCCCCCCTTTCTACGTGGCCCCCTTTCTCTCCGTGCCCCCCTCTCTCCATGCCCCCTCTCTCCGTGCCCCCTCTCTCCGTGCCCCCCTCCCTCTGTGCCCCCCCTCTCTCTCCGTGCCCCCCTTTCTCTCCGTGCCCCCCCCCCCCTTTCTACGTGGCCCCCTTTCTCTCCGTGCCCCCCTCTCTCCATGCCCCCTCTCTCCGTGCCCCCCTCCCTCTGTGCCCCCCCTCTCTCTCCGTGCCCCCCCTCTCTCTCCGTGCCGCCCTCTCTCTGTGCCCCCCTCTCTCCGTGCCCCCCTCTGTGCCCCGCCGTGGTGGAGAGTGTTGGTGATGTCGAGGCGGCGGTTGCCTGTCAGTATTAGGGTTCGTTCGTTTCGCCTTCACATTTCACGAGCTGCGTTTGATAATTTACCCCCACCCCCTACCCCCTACCCCCCCCCCCGCCCCCCCACGTTGTTTTGTATTTTTATACAACCGGAGAATAAACGAGTTTGTCTTTTGAAGAGCGGGAAGGGGGCCCGTCGATTTGTCTCGGGAACGCGCGGCGCGACCGGGGGAAAGACAACTTGGGCGCTGTTAGAATGTGGCTGGCGCCTCTTGGCCGAAGCCACCATATCCAAACCGACACACACACACCATCACCACATCCACACACCATCACCACACACACCATCACCACATCCACACCGACACACCATCACCACATCCACTAACACACACCATCACCACACACACCATCACCACATCCACACACACACACACCATCACCACATCCACACACACACACCATCACCACTTCCACACACACCATCACCACATCCACACACACACACCATCACCACACACACACCATCAGCACCACACAATGGTTCATCTTAACACCATCGCACACACACACACCATCACACACACCATCACCACACACACCATCACCACCACACACACACCATCACACACACACACCATCCCCACACACACCATCACCACATCCACACACACACACACCATCACCACATCCACACACACACACACCATCACCACATCCACACACCATCACCACATCCACACACACACACCATCACCACATCCACACACACACCATCACCACATCCACACACACACCATCACCACACACACCATCACCACACCGACACACCCACACCATCACCACATCCACACAGACCATCACCACATCCACTCCGATACACACACACCATCGCACACACACACCATCGCACACACACCATCACCACATTCACACCGACACACACACACCATCACCACATCCACTCCGACACACACAACAACAACCGCCATTCGCCACTAAGTGGCGGTGACGTCACCACGACGCTTGTGCCAGGCCATGTGCACCTTGAGGCCACGTGAAGTGTCGAACGCCCGCTGGCAGGTCACGGGGTAGACCCAGGTGCCACGGATCGACTGACTGAGATGACTGGTTGATGCACCACCTGTGCCCCCTACTGTGCCAACTTGCTGTGGTTTAGTCACCCGGCGATCCGCTCGTTGTTGTGAGCGTCGCTCCTCCGCCCTCCATTGTTGTTGGAGGGCGACTGCCTCCAACTGCCCAGTAGCGTCCTTCACGAGCCTCCTCCAGAGAGGCCGATCTTGACACCGCTGGTACCAGTCATCGGCAAGTCCACTCAGCTCCACGTCCTCCTGTACCACATCACTCCATCTCATCTCTAGCCCGTGCCGCGCCCGTTTACCCCCTCGATTCGGCCGAACAAAAGCTGTTTAGGCATCCGGTGGCTGGGCATGCGGGCTACATGACCCAGCTAACGCAGCCTTGCCTGCCGGAGGAGCTCACCGATGGGACTTTGCCCAGATCGTTCAAGGATTTGTGAGCTCCTCACACAATCCAGCCTGGTTAAACCCAGGATGGATCGTAGGCAGGCCAACCTGAATGTTTCTAACCGGCGAAGATGCTTCATTAGGGGGGTCCACGTTTCGCAAGCGTGGAGAAGTGAGGGAATGACCGTGGCCGAGAAGACCTGAAGCTTCGATCGGAGCGACAGACCAGGTAGCTTCCACACAGCGTTACGCAACCGATGAAAAGATATTGCCGCTAGAATGATTCGGAGTGAGACCTTTGCACACACACACCATCATCACATCCACACCGACTTATCCACGCCACCCCCACATCCACGCCATCGGCGGACAAGCCCCTGTGTTGTGCTGCTGCTGCTGCTGGGACGGTGACAGCAGCCGCGCGTGACCTGCATGCGGTGGCTGGGCAAGCGGGCAACGTGACCCAGCCACCGCAGCCGCGCCTGCAGGGTGTGGAGCTCACGGATAGGGACACTCACTCTCTGCGGTCTATCACGGATCTGCGAGTTCCTCACACTGGGATCCAGTCTGGATTATAGTCAAACAAACAAAAACCCCCCATGGCGGATCGTAGGGCAGGGCAGTCGCGACGTTTAAAAACCTGCCAGAGGGCCCCAACGTTTCGCGACCACAGCAGCGGCAGGGAGAGAAAGTGAACGACTGCGGCCGAGAAGAACACCCTGCGGGAGGTTCCAATGGAGCGGGCGGCCGAGCGGGCGAGAAGGCAGCTCCCACTGGGCGCCACTTGACAACGACGACGCCGCCGCCGATTCAAGAAGATAATTGCCGCTCCACTCATTCAAAGAGCGAGACCCCCCCCCCCCCCCGTGCTGTTGGAAGCTAGGAGCTGCTCGCGTTATCCCCCCGCCTCCCTAACCCCCCCGCCCCCCTAACCCCCCCCCCCCGAGAGTTCAGGCTGTTGTTTGAGAGCCGTGCCACAGCGGGAAGAGGCCGATGCTGGCCGGCTGCCTTCATCCTCGTGGCGCTCGCATCCACCACGGTGGCTAATGGGGGGGGGGGGGGGATAGGTGCGGTGCAGGGGGGGCCTCAGCCTTAAACTAAAATTAATTAGCAAGGGACCACAGGAAAAAGAAAACGTGAAAGTCCCGAGGGGACGGGCGTCCATGACGTCTCCTGGCGAAACTCCACGTGGCAGGGCACTGAACCCCTGCCAGCCCCTCCCCCCCCCTCGGGGATCATCCACAGACAACGACAAACTCGACACATTCCATGTCAATCAGACCACGGCAAGAAAGAGGAGGAGTGGACGCGACAACGATAAGTGACCATTTCAGGCAATGGTTCATCTTTACACCATCACACACACACCATCAACACACACACACAAAATCACGACCACATCCACCATCACCATCACACACCACCACGCATACACCATCACCACCACACACACACCATCACACACACACCATCACCACCACATCACACACACACACCACCACATCCACACCATCGCACACACACACCATAACCACCACACACACACCATGACACACACACCATCACCGCCACATCCACCATTACCACCACACACGCACCACCACATCCACACCATCGCACACACACACCATAACCACCACACACACACCATGACACACACACCATCACCGCCACATCCACCATTACCACCACACACACACCACCACATCCACACCATCGCACACAAACACACACCACCGCACACACACACCACCACATCCACACCATCGCACACAAACACACACCACCGCACACACACACCGCCACATCCACACCATCACACACACGACTCGCCCCAACTCATACACCCCTCAATCACCCTAAAGTTCACCCTTTTTTTCTGTTCCACCCCATAATCAGGATTAAACTCAAGGCTCTCTCCGACTCACTCCGACTCAACTCGCCCGCTCACGCTCCGCGCAGCCCGTAACACGGCCGCTTGGCCCGATCAGCGTGGGCTGGTTGACAAGCGACGTTTGACCCCCCTTCCCTCCACCACGACTTGTGACCAGAGCAAGGCTGTAATTATAATGTATATATTCAAATGTGCTCAAAATGTACCCC